ATGAGAAAGCCTACTTTTTTATGCTTCTATTGTAAAAATAGTGTACAGAGGGGTTACAGTTACATGAGTAAGGTAATGAGTACATTTCCTATGGAGCATTGTTACCTCCTCCTTTGTTTTTTCCTTAACAACCCTTCCCTCCTCACCTCCACAACTACCCCCTTACCCCCACAAAGTTGTAAAGTTCATTTTCTACATAGTGTTTTGTACATCTCATTGTTACAATGGGTCAACCTGTATCCTTGTTTCAACATTTTGTTATTTCCCTTCCCCTCCCCAAATTAGAAATATGTATATACAAGATGCAGGGCACCAACATCAAATACAATGAAAACAGGATTTATACTGTGGGGGAAGAATATGCAAGAGAAACAAAAAAAATCACATAGTACATTTTAGATACATTAAAAACAATAGCAAGAAAGAAAAAACAAGTTGTGTCCCTATCTTGGGGTTCATTTCACTTAACATCATTTTATATGGTCATATGTACATAGCTTTTGACCTTTTCTGGTTGTCCTCGACTTATACTAGTTATTGCAAATAAGGGAAGCCATTGGACCTATGTTTCTTTGGGCCTGGCTTACTTCACTTAATATAATTTTTTCCAAGTCTTTCCATTTTCTAACAAATGGGGCAATGTCATTCTTTCTGATGGAGGCATAGAATTCCATTGTGTATATATACCACATTTCCATTCATCTATTGAGGGGCATCTGGGTTGGTTCCATATCTTAGCTATGGTGAATAAGGCTGCGATAAACATAGTTTGTGATCGTTTGGGTAAATGCCCAAAAGTGGGATTGCTGGGTCATTGGGGAGCTCTATGTGGAGTCTTTTGAGGAACCTCCATACTGCTTTCCAAAGTGGTTGAACAAGTTTACACTCCCACAACAATGCAGTAGGGTTCCCTTTTGGCCACATCCCCTCCAGCATCTGTTGTTATTATAGTTCTTGATTATAGCCATTCTAACTGGGGTGAGGTAGAATCTCAATGCTGTTTTGATTTGCATTTCTTTTATGGCTAGAGAGGTTGAGCATTTCTTCATGTGTCTATTGGCCATCTTTCTTTCCTCTTCAGAGAAGTTTCTCTTTGTGTCTTTAGCCCACTTATTTATTGGGCAGTTGTTTCTTTGCAGATTTCTTTGGGGATTTAGTTGTCCACTCTCTCCACTTCTCTTCAATTTAGTATTAGAATGCCTAGCTACAGCAATAAGACAAGATGCAAACATAAAGAAGATCCAGATAGGGAAAGATGAAGTAAAACTCTTACTCTTTACTGATGACATGATCTTGTATTTAAAGAATTCCATGGACGCCACTCCCAAATTACTCGGGCTGATCTGAAATTTTGGCAATGTAGCAGGATACAAAATTAACCCTCAAAAATCAATGGCTTTTCTGTATGCTAACAATGAAAAGAGCATGGTTGAACTCAGGGAAGCAACTCCTTTTTAATAGTCACACAAAAAATAAAATACTTAGGAGTTAACTAAAGAAGTGAAGGACCTCTACAATGAAAACTTTAAAAGCCTAAAAAAGGAAATTAAGGCAGAACTTAGGAAGTGGAAAAGCCTCCCAGGCTCCTGGATTGGGAGGATTAACATCGTGAAAATGGCAATACTTCCCAAGGCTATCTACAAATTCAATGCAATAACTATGAATATTCCAATCTCATTCTTCAGTAAAATAGACGAAGAAACCCCAAAATTCATATGGAACAATAAAAGACCCCGAATAGCAGAAATAATCCTTAGCAGAAAGAACAGTGCTGGAGGAAATCAATACCAAATTTCAAACTCTACTACAAAGCCACAGTAATCAAAACAGCTTGGTCCTGGCACAAGAAGTCTAATGGAGTAGAACTGAAGACCCAGAAATGAACCCAAAGACCTATAGCCACCTAATCTTCAATAGGGGAGCTAAACAGATAGAATGGAAGAAAGACAGTAAATGATGCTGGCAAAATTGGTTTAACACCTGTAGAAAATGAAAGCTAGATCCCCATATATCACCCTGCACCAGAATCAACTCCAAATGGATCAAAGACCTTGGAGTCAAAGCAGACACCATGAAAACATTACAGGATGGAATAGGAGAAACTTTAAGGCTCCTTGGCGCAGGCTGGAATTTTCTTAATAAAGACCCAGAAACACAGCAAATCAAAGAAAGGTTGGACAAGTGGGATTGCATGAAGTTGCAGAGCTTCTGCATGGCAAAGGACATAGCTAGCAAGATCAATAGAAAACCAACGAATTGTGAGAAGATCTTCACTAGTCATACATTGGACATTGGACAAGGGTCTCATATCTAAAGCCTATTTTTTGATGTATGAGGTTTGGATAGATTGGGAGTGGAGTCATGGTTGTAGGGGTGACACTGATCAAAGTACATAGTTCTTATCAATTGACATGATAATTTGAAACTTCTTTGTATAACTACTTAAAGGTAATAAATAAGTAAATGTAAAATGGAGGAGGAGGAGGAGGAGGAGGAGGAGGAGGAGGAGGAGGAGGAGGAGGAGGAGGAGGAGGAGGAGGAGGAGGTGGAGGTGGTGGTGAAGGAGCCTATTTGGGGAAAGGGTGCCACTAGGAAACTTAAAACTATTCAAAATCAGGACCGATGAGAAACTCCTAATTGCATGACTTCAGCCACACACCCTAATATGAGAAAACTTAAAGTCATACATTCCTATCTTTGTTGAAACTATCATGGACAGGTGTGGACACCTGTTCTGCTGCCTTACAAGTCCCATTGTGTAAAGAATCATAACCTCTTGGTGGGAATGGCCCCTTATCAATAATAACATCCAAGGCAGTTCTAGGGCTTGTTGACCTGTAGACCACCACAACACAGAGGTGCAGGTGACACAATTATTGAAGCTCTTTGGGTGAAATTGAGAACTCACTCTTTAAGAAATGTTTGACTGACCAAAGGAGGGAAAGAAAAAAATCCCAAGGCACTTTTCACTGCTTCTTTTTCTGTGTTTTTTTTTTCCTTTGTACAGCGGGCAAGGGAGCTCACCTATAGGATTATCCAGTACTTTTGAGGACTGGAGGAACCTCTGTGTTAAAAATGAAGCTAAAATTCAAGGTAAGGTCAAAGCTATTTAACTGAGTTGTTTGCATTCTTCAGATGAGGGAATATTAATTATTTTGAACTAATTATGGTTCACATTTTTGAAGGAGATAACTTGATAGTGAAATTTATTAGAGCCAAAATCAGTTTTAGTGGTGAAAGGAAAACAGGAGGATAAAAATGTAAAGGAGTTGGAAGAGCAGGAAGAAAAAAAGGCTGTTTACTAGAAATTCTTGAGAAAATAATTTAACTCAATAGATGCATTTCATATGTATTAGATACAGATGGATGTATAAACTAAAAAAGATATATAAACTAAAACTAGGTCAGTAGAAAATAACAGGATTATAGCATAGCTTAGAAAAAATGTACAGTCTTAAATATACTTATAACTCAAATAAGAAAGCCAAAAAATTTGATGTGATTATCCATTTCAGTAAATTAGAAAAGTACAGTAAGTTATACTGGAAGAAAGTAGAGGAAATATAAAGTAAGGAAGAAATAATGTAGAAGAGCAACAAAAATATAAAGCTGAAAGCTTTTTTTTTTTTTAGAAAATATGATTAAACTGAGAAACTACTTGCAAAAGTGCTTTGTCATTTTTCAGAGAGAGAGAGAAAGAGAGAGAGAGAGAGAGAAGACACCAATTACAAGAAGTAGAAAAAACCATTCATGTAGAACCCCCACATTAAGCAAAAATCATAAAGGTAGTATGGATAACTTCATGCTAATGAGTTAGAAAGTTAAAGAAAAATGGCAAATTCTTACAAGCCAACTTAACAAAACTGGTACACACAAAATGTAGACTGCTATCAGAGTAGATGTCTTAGCTCATGTCCCACAGAACCAAGAACTTGATAAAGGACTTGGCTATTGATGTAGGGATTTCTGCTGGCTGAACATCTTTAGTGTCAGATCCCACTAGCCATGCTGCTAACAGAAGACCAAACTATGTGCTTAGCATACAACAAAATTGAGCATGGTCTTATCACTCCTCAAAGCAAAACAGGAGAGGATTTTTACACCTAATGAATGATGAAGAGCTTTGCCACCCCAATGAAACAAGATATCACAGAACAAAACAAAAAGCACATCACTTCATTTCTTTGTGAATCCAAGAGACAATGCACCCTGGTGGCTCAGAACCTCCAAAAGTTTTAACTTGGATAATTATGATTCTCTAGAATCACAGCAGGCTCCTTGCCCATTCTGGGCCCTTTTGCTGTACACACACACACACACACACACACACACACACACACACACACACACACAAACACACACACACACACACATTTCTGTTTAACATATGTATTCTCTATTCACATCATATCACCAATCCTGTGTTTGTCACACTGTTGGTGTTCAGCTTCTAAACTCAAGTAGCCTAGTTGTCATTTGGCATTTTATTCAATATCAGTCAGGACAATTTTGTGTTTATAAAGCAACTTCTGAAGATTTTTTTTCTAATACCCATTATATATTTAAGACCCTAAACTTACACTACTACAGTCCCCAAGATGTTTTTACTAAATGTCTAAGCATTTATTTGTGAAGTTCGAATTTTTCTCCCAAATTCAGTTTTGCCATCCAATCTGGACTCCAGTGTCAGAAGAAAATGAGAGCAATGTACTAAGTTCCTATTCTAATCCCTCAAATCAAGGCTGATACTCAATGCTTTAGAAAGAGTCCTTTCTAATTTAGTTGCAGCCTCTAGCTATTGTTCAGAAAAATTGGCAGACATGGTTCAGAGTATGATTAAAGAGATGAGATAGAGGGGAGATTACTAATGACTTAGTACCTACAAAAAGGTGTAATCAGAAGGTAAAAGAAAAGTGATCAGATATTCATGCTCAAGAAAACCACACAAGCGTTTTGTACCATCTGTCAATAAGTTCTAATCCCGGTTTCTCTTGACTTACCTCCACCAGCTTGTTGGCATGTTCACGAAAAACCTGGGCATATTCTTTCACTTCCTTTTCATTGCCACTCTTTGCAGCTTCGATGAGAACCAGCAAAGGGACGTTGGTTTCCAAGAAGGAATCAGATATGTGATCCATTACTGCTTTCCGAAGCTACAGTCAAAATAAGCACACATAAGAATATATGATTAAGGAATGGAATTTCCAACTTTTTCCTGAACTATTGTCCAGATATCATTTCCAGGTAAATAATATTCTAATTCTTTTTTTTTTTTAGAAATTTTACCAGTGCATATTTATCACATTAAAGAAAAAACACAGTATGTCTGCCTATAAATTCAATGTTATCTGCTCAGTGAAAGTTGCATGTATAACCTGTAGTTCAATATACTCTATGTCCTCTTTGATTAAGAGATCTGCTTATTCCTTGACCTGAATGTACCCCTTTTAGGAGATCTGAATCAAGATATAGTTCAAGAATTCAGGCTCTTTAGAAAAGAAGAAATCTAGGCCTCAGCCAGCCATCGGGAAGAACTGTGGATGAAGAGCTGAGCCCCAAAGTCACTCCAAAAATAACCACTGTTCAGTCTCCTGCTCTTCCTAGAGGCACTATTTGTATTACTTAGAAAGGACAGGTGCTATGGTTGCTAAGCTTCAGAAAAAAAAAAAGATTTGCAATTGTTTTTCAAGTAAAGTAAGAATAAACAAACCCCAATCTCTTAACAATGAAAATTACACATCATTCCTACCATATTAAAAAAAAAAATAAGATGCAGGGCAGCTGCATTAAAACAAAGCAAAGCAATCCCTGGAATATCTCAGCTTATGCATACTGTCTGAATATATAGAGGATACAAAAGAAAATATACACAAGATAAGATGATAAACAATCCATTTTGCAGGAGTGTGCAGATGAAAATTTGTCAAGGTAATATACACACATTTGCTACTGGTCAGAAGAAAGAGAATTGTGAGCAAAGTTCACTACCTTTTACACTAATTAGCAAGAAATGAATATGTGTATGTATAAATTAGTCTGGTTTTACTCTGTATTGGGTTTGACATTTAATCATGTAAAATATAATAGAGGCCTTGTAAAGTTAATATTGTTTACTTATTTAGCAAACTAATGTCTTAAACTAATGCCTGGGAATAATGTTGGTTGTTGATAAGTTCATAATTTAAGTGGATGAATTATGCACAAAACATTCAGCTAAGATCATTTGGGAAGGGGAAGCACTGAGTTTGAACTCAGGGCCTTGTTCTTGCAGCAGTCTACCACTTAAATCACTCTGCAGCTCTTTTGATGTTGGTTATTTTCTTTTTTCCTTCTTCTCTTCGTATTTAGCTAAGTCTACAGTGGTGTACAAAGGGGTTACAATATAATATGTCCTTTTTTATTTTTATTTTTGTCAGTAGTGGGGCTTGAACTCTGGGCCTGGGTGCTGACCCTCAGCTCTTCAGCTCAAGGCTAGTGCGCTACCACTTGAGCCACAGAACCATTTCTCATTTTCTGAGTGGTTTATTGGAGGTAAGAGTCTCACAGCCTTTCCTGCCCAGGCTGGCTTTGAACCACGATCCTCAGATCTCAGCCTCCTCAGTAGCTAGGATTACAGGCATGAGCCACCGGCACCCAGCTAATATATCCATTTATGTGTATAATACTTATTAATCAGAGTCAACCCTTCCATCATTCTTCCTCCTGTTTTCACCTACCCCTCTCTTCTACCACATACCTCAAGTTTCCATATGTACATTTAGTGTTATCACTGTATTCACTCACCGTTCCCTTCCCCATTCATTTAGAACATCTTTCATCTTCCTGATATTCATTTTACTACATTTTCTGATAATTTTTCAAAGGGTTTACACCATGGAGTTTCACTCCTGCATGTATTATACTTTAGTTAAGTTGCTCATGGATATATGCATATGTCCCTCAGTGTGTTTACCACTTCGGGGCATTTATCCAAAAGATTGCAAGAGTGGATACAATAAAGTCACTTGCATGCCCATGTTCTTTGCAGCAGTAGTCACAATAGCTACATTACGCAAACAGCCCAGATGCTTCACAATGGATAAATAGATCAAGAAAATCTGAGATTAAATAAATATATGTATATATTATTCAACCATCAGGAAAAATGAGATTCTGTCATTTGCATGAAAATGGATGGATTTCCCTTGGTTATTTTCAAGATAAGGTCTCAATTTATTCCCAGGCTGGTCGGGACTATGATGCTCCTATTTGTACTTCTGTAATTCACTAGCTAGACAGAAGCTCATGGGCCAGCCCAGGCATTGCTGTACTTTCCTATGGCTGAGTCAACAGATATTTGCCATCTCACAGAACCATTGCTAGGGGCTGCAATCCTTCCATCTCCATCTCTCAAGTAGTTAAGATTATTGGCTTGAGCCACTTCACCTGGATTCAGTCCGTACCAATTTATATAATTTGACTCTTACAACAACACTATGATGTGCAGAGTGTTCTTAAACTGGCATTTCAAAAGAAGAGTTAGAATTTAGACATGTTTAATAACTTCCCTGCAAACTAAAGATGGCAAGGGGTAGAACCTATGGTAAGAGGGCCTGAAGGAAACTGTGCAGTGAGCAATTAAAGTTAACCATGGCAATTAAAGCCATGGCTCAGTTCCAGGGAGTAGCTTCACATAGAAAAGGAACTTCTGGGAAATTAATCAAATAGGAACTTGACAGAGACGACAGAGAACAATGGAGAATGTCTGACAAATTTGGGGAGAGGGATAGGATGAGTCAAACTATGTCACCAACAAAACCACCGTATTTTTTTAATATTCACACAAAAATAACAATGGAGAGCTCTGTAAAGCTAGACCAAAAGAAGGCATGACACTACTTTCTAAACTTGCATGAAGATTTTGTCCCAAAATGTAGGCAAGTCTAGTACAAAGTTATAAGAAAAATGAGAATAGGTATATAGTGGTGTCCCTATAGAAGCTTAAAGCATAGAAAGATATATCTATGAGATAGAATCAAACTGTAACCTCCAGTTTCAAACTAACTAAAAGACTTTAAAGCATTGATCTGAAATATTAAAGACAACATAATTTATAATAAGAAACAACTAAGAATCGGGTCCTAAAACTTAATAGGTAATTATAAATAAAAAATAATCACTTGAAAAGTACTAGATAAAAATGAACAAATTCTATAATAGTAAATGTGTTGTGAGATTATTTTTGTTTAATTCAAAAGATGGGGGATGGAGAAGTTAATAAACAATTTAAGCAAGGTTGACAAGTCTTGAACAAAAGAAAAGAAAATTCAACTTTCTAAGAAAAAATTAAGCAAACAGAATGAATACGAAAAGTTATAATTAATAAACTTTCATCAGTACATATATATATATATATATATATATATATATATATATATATATATACTAAGCATGACATTCTAATAATGTAGTATATATTTCAAATTTCCAGTGATTCAAGCCTGTAATCCTAGCTGTTCAGAGGCTGAGATCTGGTGGACTATCGTTCAAAGTGATTGAGTTCCAGTTGCACAAGCAAGCTAAGTGAATGCCAGGCACTGAGTTCAAACCCTGGTACCACCAAAAACAAAATAAAACATACATTGCTAAAAGCCATTTTAAATGTTCTCATCACAAAAAACGTCAGGTGATAGATTTTTCCATGTTTATGTATGAAAAAATATCACATTTTACATGAGTGTATTTGCCAAGAAAACAAAAAATTTTAAATAAAAGTAAAATCAATTCTGAAAGAATATATGTTTCTAAGAAAAATAGTCCATAACTACCAAGCACCATATACACTAGGAAAACTATTGGATTCTAAAATAGTTAACTTAAGCATGTGATTTAAAAAGAAAGGAAATAAGATCAGCAAGACTTTAATCTCAAAGCTTTATGACAAAAGCCAAAAAGTACTATACTAGGATATTTATGAAAGAAAATGAAAGCTAAGAAGTTTAAAACCAATCAAACTAACTTTCAAGGACATGAAGCACACAAACACACACACCAAAAATCCAAATAATATTCAAGAAGCAAAGACCTGTAAAAAAATTATGTTAAGAGAAATAAGTCAGGTCCAGAGAGACAAAGGCTGTGTTTTCCCTCAAATGTGAGAGCTATAATTACCCTATATACTTACAAGTGAATAGGGTGGGTGGTATTCAAGTGTATACAAATACTTTTACTGAAATATGGAAGATTCAAGAGAGAACTCAAATAGAGTACTTTCTTAAAAATGCAAAGTCAAAGTTCAAAAATTAATCACCAGGAAACAGTACTTTGAAAAGAGTGGGGTGGGGTCAAGGATTAAGGAGTAGACAAACAGAAGAAGAGGGAGTCAAGAATTCAATGTCTATCTTACAAAATTAAGGAAAGTGAGGGAAGAGGTTGGGTTTAGAGGAATATTTGATATGTTGAAAGGGGTGATTGAGATGCATGGATCGAGGTTAAAATTATATTCATATACTTCTGTTAAATTGCAACTTCGCTATATAGCTACTTAAAAGAAGAGAATATTGCTCATATGAGCTTTTCTATTAGCAATTGGTTTAAGAACCAAAGTAACTAGAAAAACATCAACACAACAATAACAGTAAATATTTGGCATATCCTTATCTGAATAATTAAAAATAAATGATGGATTAATGCAAAAGAGTACAGAATAAATGTTTCTATTCCGTGATGATAAAGATATGCTATAGCACTTTAAAATGGGAGGAGAAAGAGACTAGCAAATATAGCAATATTGTGTTTTGTATAACTTAAATTGCAATGGTAATGTGAATATGGTTATCTTATGCATTTTACTTAAAGGTTCAATAATACAAACAATTCACTATAAGATTTAACTAATCAAATCCAATGTCCTTGCTAATCAGGAACATTGGTAAGGAAGAAAGGAAACATAAAGGCCAGCTGCCAGTGTCTCAAACTTGTAATGCTAGCTATTCTAAATAGGAAAAGGGTCTGTTTAAGCATATTCCTCTTTATAGGTGAATTTTAAAAAGAGAGATAAAATTAGAATATCACCATTCTGCAATGCTTAGTGAAATAATAAGTCTGGACAATGACCATCAGTAGTTGAAAACACTAGGAAACATTGAGACATGCAGGCACTATGTACATTCTG